CCAGTCACTTTTTATGACCATATAGGGGAACAAGTGCTTCTATTTGCTTGGCCTTACATAAAACATCAAATATCGAACGGTAAACTAAACAATGTAATCAAAACTACAAAACAGACAAATTTACCTAATAATAATAATTAATTCATATTAGATAACAGTGCCTTGCAACTATGCGAAGGCCAGTTTAGGACATTAAAGGCCCGTTCACACCAAGCACGATAACTATAAAGATAACGATAAAGATATAGTTCTAAAAATCGTTCTCAATATTAAAGAATAGCATAGCTCACACCACAACTATAACGATAACGATACAGAGGAACGATATCATTGTGATCACTTTCAAAACGATTTTTTCCCAGCTGATGAACGATAAAACACTGACAGCCAATCAGAATCCATCCTGCTGTAACGAGCTCAAGAATTTAAAGCGGCAGACGCATGTGCGCTTAGAACAAACAGACGATATCGTTCGCTGGTGTGGACGCTAATATCGTTATCTTTATAGTTATCTTTATAGCTATCGTTCTTGGTGTGAACGGGGCTTAAATATGATGAAAATAAGAAAAAATAAAACACTGCAAGAATGCAAAGAAAAACATTCCAGATAAGTACACGCCACATTCCTTCATCTGTCATCATCTCTCCAATGAAAACAGGTTGCTGAGTGGACTGCTTCATTAAACTCTTTTCATTCTCAACCCCCTAATACCTCAAATCATCATTACATCACGAAACTGTAGACGTGGAGGATGCTGTTTTAGAAAGGGCCATAAAGAAAGCTATCCGTTAGTATTAGCCATTGGGATCGCAGCTTTCTGTGTTGTTCACAAATACAACTACTACTACTAATACATTATCCAAATGACTAAATTTATTAGTTTACAAATCCTAAACTATGCTACAAGTGTTTTAAAGTCATAACATAGTACTGTGTAAGGAACCACATGTTGTTTAAAGGGGTCATATGATGCGATTTCAAGTTTTCCTTTCTCTTTGGAGTGTTACAAGCTGATTGTGCATAGATAAGATCCCTGAAGTTGCAAAGACTAAAGTCTCAAACCCAAAGAGATATTCTTTATCAAAGTTAAGACTCTGCCACGCCCCCCTAAAACGGCTCATTCTAACACGCCCCCACATATCTACCACACTATATGGAAATATTTGCATAATGCCACCCAAATGTTCACGCAAAGAAAGAACGCGTGGTTTCAGTAACCGCAGTTAGTGTTGAAGCAGCCATGTCAGGGAGACGCTGTGTGTTTCTAGACGAAAGCAAAAGCACTTTATTTGGCCTTCCAGAAGTAGATGCAATTAGGAATCATTGGTTAAGATTTATTTACAACAGAACAGCACAACCCAGATGTTCGAATTTGTGCAACGCATTTTATGAAGGAGGGGGCTTTGTAGAAAACGAAGCGTTTGAGAGAGGCGGGGCATATAGGACTTACAATAATGTACAGTATTTGAAAAATAATGTGTTTTTTGAACATTAAAGTATGTCAACACATTCTGTTACACCAAATACACCAAATAATGATCTTTAAAAAAGCATCATATGACCCCTTTAAGTCTTTATTAATCAAAAATCTCACATGTAATCATAACTTGCTTGAGCAGTTCAAGTTGTGTTTATTCACTAGCATTTATTTCCGATGAAAACTTATGTGAACTGTATGTATAGATACATTTTTAGAAGTTTAGCAGAAATGTAGCAAGCCTGAGTTGAATATAACTATACTAAAAACTGCTTGCTGTCAATGAAGAAGCAGACTTAGTATGCAGACTCCAAACCCTGGCCCCTTGCTCCTTTAGATCTAAATTCATCTCTTCACTGCCATCACGAAACAATACTGTCAAGACATGCAGGGGTGAGAGATCTGAAGAACAAGGGAGGAAGACTGAGAAAGAGAGATGAAAGGAAAGGATAAAATAGAAGACGAGGACCAAAAGACAGAGGAAGGAAAGGACAGAGGGACAGAAGAGTAAACATCATCCATCACTGCACTGCTAGAGCCAGCTGACAGAGAGAGAGAGAGAGAGAGAGAGAGAGAGAGAAGGAATGGAGGATGTGGTCTTGCACAGGAGAGATAACCTCCAGAGCTGATAAAAGTATGGAGTCCTTGGTCTTCTTCAGATCAGATGCTCTTCTTCTCTAGAAAAACCAGCCGCACATCAGATTCAGTACACAACTCTCTCTACTCTGGACCCTCTTTCATTCCCTCCACCCCCAGCGGCTTACTCCATCATGCCTGATCAAAAAACTCTTATTAAAGAGGCATGGCTTTTCAATCTATGACACTGCATTCAGTCAGTGCTTCTACCCTCTGCTCCATGCTGCCTCCTCTGCATATAGGGGACATATATAGAGAACTCCGCCTAAACCAAGAGTATAATCCCTGGAGAAAGTTTTTCATTAGCATCCCTATACATCTCAATGGCAACTGCTGCGGTCGCATGATCCCCTGGAAGAAAGCAATTTCAAATCTGTCATCTTTGCTCATGGGCACTCAGTGCTTTTGAGAAGGCTTTTGAATAGCCGTCAATGGAGAAAGATGCTTCGGTTCCAATAATGCTGAAATCTACCATGAGTGTATGCACATCTATATAAAAAAATAAACTCAATCTACTGTAAGGAATTAAAGCTCTGAAGTAAAAGGTGGTTCTGGGTGATAATAATAACCACCAGATAATTTTTTGTGGGTGTGTTACCGATAACTAACTAATGGCCTATACCGTTTTTTCTAATTATTAAATTAAGAATGAAATACTACCAACAAATATTAATAATTTTAATTTCTACAAGTGAATTTATGCATCACAACATTGTAAAGTACAGTATGAAAATTCATTTTGAGCTTGCTAAAGATTACTTTTAACAGTGTTATTTTAAATTATTAGTGCTTTTGAAGATGACGTTTAAGTGAGCGACAGCTGAAGGCAAATGTGATCTACATGTAAAATAGGGGAAACGAGCAGCATAATTAAATATACAATATTGATTGATAATGATATATATAAAAATTCTCTAATATCTGCCAATAAACAATATAGTACTGATATATTGTGCATATTTACAAAGAAATTACTCAAAAACTTCTGTACAGAATTAAAGGGTCATGAAACACCAAGCTACTTCTTCTGAGATTTTAGCAGAGGTGTTTGTGTTGCACATCATAGGAGAGACAATGTTAGCATCCGTTAATTTTAATGCTTGGAGAAAACTGGTAAATTTTGAGCTTTTTTTGCGCCATTTCCGTCTTACAGGTTTAAAATCTACACTGTGTTAACGTCACAGATTGTGACGTGGCAAAGGACTACAGTACTTTGATGACGCATCGGTGTCTCATAATTATTCATGAGACTGTGTGTTCTTATCCAATGAGAAGACGCTTCTCTTAATTATTCACAACAGCATCGATAGGCTCACTTCAGACTGTTAGATTGCATACATTAAGTGAGAGACGTGCATTCATGGATCGAAGGAAAGTGTCTGTTTTTGCTTTGTAAGAGTTCAGCACAAACACGATTTATTCACTTAGCGAGTGTAACCAGTTTTTACAGCTCCTTGATGCAATCCATCAAAAGGCTCATATAAACGCCGCAAAACAAGCCTTAAAAGTTATTAGAGGAGCAACAGCACGTTCATATATTTTCGATGCAGAGTACAGATGTACAGAGTACAGAGTACAGGCTGAGCATTTATTTGTGTTTTTAACTACATGGGGGCTGCATTCATGGATCGAAGGAAAGTGTCTGTTTTTGCTTTGTAAGAGTTCAGCACAAACACGATTTATTCACTTAGCGAGTGTAACCAGTTTTTACAGCTCCTTGATGCAATCCATCAAAAGGCTCATATAAACGCCGCAAAACAAGCCTTAAAAGTTATTAGAGGAGCAACAGCACGTTCATATATTTTCGATGCAGAGTACAGATGCAAATGGCTGAGCATTTATTTGTGTTTTTAACTACATGGGGGCTAAATGAAACTATCTGAACCCAAAGCTGTGTGTGTTGTCTGTCTCTCCTCTGTGTTTAAGCTATACCAACATTTCATTGTCTCTTGTAACATAAATGCTTGCTTTGATTCTGATTTCTGTAAAGGAAATCTCTGTAAACGTTGTTGCTCAAATTTGGGCACATTTTGGATACAGCCCTCCACAGCATACTACGGTCCTTTTGGCGACTAGATGTAATTACAAGATATAAATGCACAGTTAATCCAGATGTTATTTAATGATTCCTGAAACAATACAATTAATGTAATCACTTCTCTCCATGTTTGCCACTGGCAATACAAGCACTGCTAAATTGGACACTCTGCCTCCAAAATTCAGCCCATGCTGTACTGCATGTCTATGACAGCACATATGCAGAAAACACTCAGATGAACAAAGTGTGACTGTACTGGTGACTGAGGCCTGACTCCCAGACATCTCAAAACACTGTACTGAAGGAACAAAAGGTCACTTGGGACAGAGAGGCAGGCAGGCAGGGGACAGACGAGTGTGATGACTTTGTATGCAAGTGTGGCGAGTTCCACGTCCAGTATCTAAACTCATCTAATGAAGTGTGTGGAGCGGCGATGTGGTCGTGCCGCATGGCTGCAGTTTAATTCCTTTGCATTTTCACCTTCAGACTAAAAGGAGGAGAACACTGTGATATGCAGCGGCAGAGATACGCTGCACAGTGATGAGGGAAAAGAGAGAGAGACTATTTGTGCCCTTCTCCATTAATGTCCATGGGCAGATAAGACAGAAGGGAAGCGTTAATTAACATGGGCTTGAGAGAGGGACATTTATTTCCCCTGAAAAAACTGTTCTTATTTCTCTGAGCCAACAGCACTGCCCTGAGATAAACTCTCTCTCTGTCCAGATCTTCATCTATGTGGCGGTCTGCACAAACTTCCATCATCTGAAATAACTATGACACTGAACAGGGCAGACAGAAAAGAAACATGCACACAAACTTGCAAAAATCAATAAGCAATGATAACGTACCTCCTGTCCAGAGAGGTAGTATGCAGCCAGAAGCCCTCCAATGAAGCGGATGTTGACCTCAAAGACAGATACTTCTGCATTCTGTAGAAACAGAGTGAAAAATGAGAAAGAGTATGAACAGAACAGTGATAGCCTACTTTTTCAGGGTCCTTGGTTCCCTAAGTATTTTTCCTGTTTTTAGGAAATTCTAAAAAATCTTCTAAAAAGCATCTAAATCAAACCAACAGTAAGAAACTTTTATTTGGGGGGAATAATTATAATAAACATTTAAAAAAGGTTAAAAATGACTCTATGATGACATTCTAATATGCTGATTTGGTGCTCAAGAAATCTTTCTTCTTATTACCAGTGTTAATTGTTCTGCTTAATTGATTCATTGCTTAATATTGCTTAAAACTGACATTTTTTTCAGGATTCTTTGGTGAATAGAATCAAAATAGAATAAACGCATCCTTGCTGAATAGAAGTATTCACTAGGTTAAAAAAAATCTTACTGACCCTACACATTTACAAAATACAATATATTTGAGGTTTATTGCAAATCAAATCAAATATATAATCGGTTTGACATTGTAAGAAGAAAAGTGCTGTTCAAATTCTGAAGAAAATGAAAGTGATTTTTACTTTCAGCACATAACCGTTGCACTGCATATAATTTATTAATGTGCATGGAATGGCATAACAGCCATGCAAAGCTCCCAAATGAACTTCAAATCTACATCAAAGCTGATACAATAATCCCTCAGTGAGACTGAAATGAATGCTGGAGCAGATTGCGTGTGTGTTTGTATCATCAACATCCATCTTGTCAGCTTCAACCTTTATTTAGAGAAAATTACCATGAAACAGTTTTCCACTCGCACAAAGATCACACCACAAACAGCAGCAATTCACACACACACACACACCTACCTTCAAGTCTCGTATAGCAAAGGAACTAATTCAACTAATGCCGAAAAACAGAACACAGAGAAGTTCAATGGTATGGTTGTACAAACTCCTGAAATCCTGTTTTAGCCCCGTCACAATCCCATAATCCTCAGCACCTAAAAACAGCACCTGTTTTTGTATACCGCTTATGAAATATAAGCAGGTTTTCCAGTTCTGAACATAACGCTGCTAAAGCGTCTTATATCGACTAGGTTTTACACTAATTTGATAAGACAAGAACATGCTTTAACCACCCCCTTCCATTTAGCATTCATTTAGCATGTCTATTAAATTTGACAAAAGTGAACGTGCACCAGATTAATTCAGATATGACCGTTCCCTGACCAAGGTCCATTAATTCAGTTTTTGGTTTAACAGCTGCGATTAATGCTGATGGCAGGCAGCCTCATCCATCAAAACAACAGAAACACACACACAGAGAGAGAGAGAGAGAGAGAGAGAGAGAGAGAGAGGAGAGAGGTGCATTTCGTCTGTGGAACACAAAAGATGGTATTTTAAAATGTCTCAGCAACTTTTTGTAGATATAATGAAAGTCAACAGGGGTCCAAACAGATGGTTTGAACCCCATTGATTTTCATTATATAGACAAAAACAGATGAAACTGTCAGGACTGTAAGTGACTGTTTTTTTTGGGGGGGGACTAATTTTATTATAAAATGATGGGCACCACTTTAATATACGGTAATTAATCTAAACATTACTAAATTCACAAATAATGCAATAATAAACAATTAAGTTTTAAAGTATTTATTAATCTTGGTTAACGAAGTTCTGCATTCAGTACCATTCAAAAGTTTGCAATTTAAAATAGTGGCTATATATGTGCAGTTCAAAACTTTGGGATCAGTACGATTTTTTATGTTTTCAAAGAAGTTTCTTATGCTCATCAAGGCTGCATTTATTTGATCATAAATACAGAAAAAAAACTTTAATTTTGTGAAATATATAATAATAAGTTTTCTATTTTAATATACTTTAAAATATAATTTATTCCTGTGAAGCAAAGCTGAATTTTCAGCATCATTACTCCAGTCTTCAGTGTCACATGATCCTCCAGAAATCATTCTAATATGCTGATTTATAATCAATGTTGGAAACAGTTGTGCTGCTTAATATTTGTTTGCGACCTGTGATACTTTTTTCAGGATTCTTTAATAAATAAAGATGAAAAAAACTGTTTATTAAAAATAGATATTTTGTGTTACAATATATACTATTACTCATAGTTTTGTGGTCAGTAAATTTTTTTTCTTTTTTTAAAGAAATTAATACTTTTCAGGGCTCGCAAAATTTCAAAATCCCTGGTAGCCCTTCAGGCAGGTACTCTTCAGATTTTGGTAGCCCGAAAATTTATTTAACTAGCCCAAATAAAAAAAAATACCTTTTTTTTTTTTTTTATATATAGAAAATCAGATAGGAGTTTAAATGTCAATCAAAAATATTTTCAATACACAAATAACAAATATGAAGGAAGGAATTTTATTTCACTATTTACAGGGTATCTGCAGAATT